GATGGAATAAATTGACGAACTCTAAGATTGTAAAATGCAGCCTTTACTTGTTGTGGCAACTTGGGTACATTGAATGTTAAAATGTGGATCGGAGTATCTACGAGTTTGCCGTCTTTTTTTGTTTTAATTCGTCTTACATCTATAACACCTTGTTCTTTTAGTTCCTCAAGGATTTCTTGCTCCGTACAATTCAACAGATCTCTACAATTTATTACACCTTTAGCATTATTAAGTGTAGAATGTGCTGTAACTTCGATTTCGAATTCCAAGAAATTTTTGAGTTGGGATATTTGCCTTGACTGTGCTGCACTGCTAGTTTCAATTAACAAACCATCTCTAATTTTTCGAACATTTTTTACTTGACCTACTTTTCCGTACAAATATTTCTGAATTAAAAAGGGATTTGTGGTTGAAAAATCTCCTTCTTTTCTTTTAACGATCAAAAACCGAGGCGGAACCGTCGTCTCCTGATTCGTTATAATGTTGTCTCTGTTTTTGGAGGGAGGCACCTCCGGAGGTTTAAGGTTTTTATCATTGGATGACATATTATTCCCACGAGTAGGGCAGAACTAAACGTCCACCGCAGCAGTGCTCCCTTACTACGGCAAGGCCTTGCTATAAATAGCCTACATCCCGCACACCCTCGCCATGATGCCGGGGGACCGTTTGTGGCTCCTCTTTCCCGGAGTCATGCACACCCTCGCCGCGGTCTACAGCTTAGCGTTGGGAGATTTTTTCCAAGGTTTACTCCTTAGTGCCAATTTTGGTTCGCGCCAGCTATTTCATTTGACCGGTACCACCCATAAATGGGAAGCATTCCCCTATCCACCACCCGGGGACGCGCTGGATGGGAGATTGGCAACTCCACACCAGTATTATTATTATTATTATTATTATTATTATTATTATTATTATTAATTATTATTATTATTATTATTATTATTATTATTATTATTATTATTATTATTATTATTATTATTATTATTATTATTATTATTATTATTATTATTATTATTATTATTATTATTATTATTATTATTATTATTATTATTATTATTATTATTATTATTATTATTATTATTATTATTATTATTATTATTATTATTATTATTATTATTATTATTATTATTATTATTATTATTATTATTATTATTATTATTATTATTATTATTATTATTATTATTATTATTATTATTATTATTATTATTATTATTATTATTATTATTATTATTATTATTATTATTATTATTATTATTATTATTATTATTATTATTATTATTATTATTATTATTATTATTATTATTATTATTATTATTATTATTATTATTATTATTATTATTATTATTATTATTATTATTATTATTATTATTATTATTATTATTATTATTATTATTATTATTATTATTATTATTATTATTATTATTATTATTATTATTATTATTATTATTATTATTATTATTATTATTATTATTATTATTATTATTATTATTATTATTATTATTATTATTATTATTATTATTATTATTATTATTATTATTATTATTATTATTATTATTATTATTATTATTATTATTATTATTATTATTATTATTATTATTATTATTATTATTATTATTATTATTATTATTATTATTATTATTATTATTATTATTATTATTATTATTATTATTATTATTATTATTATTATTATTATTATTATTATTATTATTATTATTATTATTATTATTAATATTATTATTATTATTATTATTATTATTATTATTATTATTATTATTATTATTATTATTATTATTATTATTATTATTATTATTATTATTATTATTATTATTATTATTATTATTATTATTATTATTATTATTATTATTATTATTATTATTATTATTATTATTATTATTATTATTATTATTATTATTATTATTATTATTATTATTATTATTATTATTATTATTATTATTATTATTATTATTATTATTATTATTATTATATTATTATTATTATTATTATTATTATTATTATTATTATTATTATTATTATTATTATTATTATATTATTATTATTATTATTATTATTATTATTATTATTATTATTATTATTATTATTATTATTATTATTATTATTATTATTATTATTATTATTATTATTATTATTATTATTATTATTATTATTATTATTATTATTATTATTAATTATTATTATTATTATTATTATTATTATTATTATTATTATTATTATTATTATTATTATTATTATTATTATTATTATTATTATTATTATTATTATTATTATTATTATTATTATTATTATTATTATTATTAATATCTGATCATTCCGGCACTTATATCCTGTACAACCCCAAACCTCCTGCAAAAATTGATTCATATAAGAAAAGAATTATCAATAATAATAGTTTAATTAACTTTGCAGGATATTTGGATGAAATTCGTTGGTCTGATTTTGATTTAAATAATGCAAACTCTTGTTCGTCTGCGAATATTATATTAGATATCATAGAGTCAGGCGTAAATGTATGTTTTCCATTGAAATCTGTTTCACACAAAAAATTAGGATTGAAGTGGTTCTCAAATGAATTAAAATTATTTCGTCAAGAAGTTCATTCTTGTAGGAATAAGTTCAAGAACTCAAACTCACCCCAAGACTGGTACACTTATTCAGAAAAAAGAAAGAAATACAAAAAGGCTCTTAAACTAGCAAAACAAAATTCTTATGAGGAGTTCATCTATACTTCTAGCAATAAAAGTAAAGCTATTTGGAAAGTTGTAAATGAGGAGAGACACGGGAAAAGGAATCAGACACAGCATACTACCCTAGATTCAAATCAGTTTAATACATTCTTTTCAACCGTGGCAGATGTTATTCTACAGAATCTTAATACGTCGGAAACTGATCCCATGTCTTACCTCGGTACTTTTCCAAGACCTGTTTCGTCCTTTTTCATGGCTCCCATCATTGAGTCAGACGTAAAAGAAGCAATACTTGCTTTAAAAAATAAACAGTGTGTCGATCACTACGGTGTTAATAGTTTGATGTTAAAATCCGCGATGAATTCACTCACGAAACCACTAACCATTTTATTTAATAAGTGCATAGCCGAAGGCAAGTGGCCAGACACACTTAAAATATCCAAAATAATTCCTATACACAAAAAGGGTGACACGGAGACTCTGAACAACTACAGGCCTATTGCAATCATTCCTGTAATTTCTAAAGTTTTTGAAAAAATCTTAAAATTAAAATTAGTTTCTTACTTAGACACCAAGTTACTTATTAATACTGCCCAATTTGGGTTTCAAAAGAACAAATCTACCATACAAGCATTGCTGAAGGTACTCGATTACATAGTCGAGGGCATTGAACAAGGAGTCGCTACATATGTTACAATGTGTGACTTGACCAAAGCCTTCGATTGTGTAAATTCAGAAATCTTACTAAATAAGCTTGAGTTTTACGGGATACGGGGCAGTATGCTACAGTTGTTCAGAGAATATTTAGTGAACCGTTCACAATACGTAGTCTTAAATAACGTCTCTTCAAGCATAGTCAATATCAGTAATGGTGTACCTCAAGGATCTGTTCTGGGACCTATTCTCTTTCTAATTTATATCAACGACTTGCCACCGGCGATGCATGAACTGACAAAGTCTATATTATTCGCAGACGACACTAACTTCTTAACCAGGGATTGTGAGAGGTCCAGCAGAGTAAATCTCGATATGGCCAAAACTTGGTTTACATCGAATAAATTAATGCTCAACAATAATAAGACCCAAACAATCACTTTTACCTCAGATAAATGGGTAAAAAAATCAGAACCGGCCAAAATGTTGGGCATCACCTTTGACAGCGGTTTAAAATGGTCAAACCATATCGAGGAACTCTGTTCGAAACTCTCGATCCAAATATATGTGTTGAGACAGCTGCGCACGAGCATCACCAGTACTGAGGCTTTGAGAACGGCCTATTATGCGTTATTCCAGAGCCATATTTCATATGGATTGTTGTTGTGGGGTAGCGCCACTACAGCTGGAAAAGTCTTCATCCTACAGAAGACAGCTTTACGCATTGTTGATGCCGCTCAACACCGTGCTCATTGCCGAGACCTCTTTATAAAACACAAAATATTAACCGTACCATGTTTATTCATTCTACAAACAGCCTTAGAAATTCACAAAAATATAAAGATTTTTCCTACAAATAACAACACTCATGAGTACAGTACAAGAGGATCGGAATTACTGGCGGTGCCACACTCGCGCATCTGTCTCACCAAAAACAATAAACTAAACTTAGATATATTCAACAAGTTAGCGGTCATTTTTAAAGACATCAATCTTAAAAACATGATGGAAAGTAGGTTCAAAAACATTATTAAAACTTTTTTACTAGAAAACAGTTTTTACAGTGTCGATGAATTTTTACAATTTAAACATTAAACATAAACATTAATTTTAATTTTATTCTTGTGATTTTCTGTTATCTTAATCGTGTCTGTTATTTTAACTGTTATTTTAATTGTCGCTGTTATATTTATACTTTATTTTTTATTTTATATTACTTGACTACGGCTTTGTTTTTATATTTATGAGTGTGTTAGACTAGAAGTAAGTTCAATATTTACTGTTTAAAATTGTTTTATATATATTTTTTTTTATTCTTTTCCACAGTAATCTCTAGACGAAAATTAACTTTTATTATTAAAAAATTATAGGATCTCTCTATGTAAATGTACATTTATATTATTTATTTCTGTATCTTTTGTATGACTTCAATGTACCCACATTGTATGAAAGAGGTCAATAAACGTCTATTCTATTCTATTCTATTATTATTATTATTATTATTATTATTATTATTATTATTATTATTATTATTATTATTATTATTATTATTATTATTATTATTATTATTATTATTATTATTATTATTATTATTATTATTATTATTATTATTATTATTATTATTATTATTATTATTGTTTCGATATGGCAGACGGTATATCTGGTGGTGAAAATCTCAAAAACATATGCGTACGCTGCAAAAAAACTGTTGGTACAGGCATAAAATGCGTAAATTGTGGTACCCTCTCCCACAAATGCTGTTTAAAATTATTAAAGAATGTTAAGTTTCTAGATAATTTAAATTGTATATGTTGTTCATCAGACGATCATAACAAAGAAGAATCAGTTGCAATTAACGATGTTTCGGTAACAGACAAAATCACTATTAAATATCTGGAAGAGCTAATTAAACAAAAAGAAATTATAATAAACACGCAGGAAATCGCAATTAAAAATCAGGATATAGCTATCCAATGCTTAAATGATCAAATTTTACACCTAAAAAATATTACATCGAATACAAGTAGTCTACAATTAAATTTAGATGTGCCAACATACTCAAGAGCTGTGGAAAAGTCCTCCTCAGTCTGTAATAAAACAGATTTTTCAGTAACGGGTAAAAATTCTGCCACGAACCAGAAAGCAATTACTAGAGAAACCCTATCAAATGCCGTTCTCAATACAAAAAGCAGACAAGTCTGTCAAGATTTGATAAATATCACGAGAGGTAAGTCTCAGGATGAAATACCTAAACATAACGCAAGAAGCCTACTCAAAGGAAGCAATGGAAATACAACAGAGTGCCCGTTTAAAGCAGCATTTGCCTATTCAAACACTGAAAGACAATATCATGCGACCAATTTTGAACCTGATGTAGATCTATTAGAATTGACAAATTATCTCAAAATTTACGCTCCTAATGTTATAGTTGAAAAACTTAACTCTCGCCAGCCTACATTATATGCGTCATTTAAAGTATCAGTGCCGGCAAATGAAGCAGACAGCATACTTAAAAGCGAAATATGGCCAGACAACGTAATATTAAATAGGTTTTTTTCCAAAAGGAGGCCGACACTGATAAGCGATTAACAAAAAATAAGCGATTAACAAAAAATATTTGTAGTAAGAATGACGTACTAATTAGTAATAATGTATTTAGAAAATTTGACACTTCGGTATTTCATCTTAATGTTCAAAGCATTACAAACAAAATTGAAAATTTGCATGTATTTTTGGGCGAAAATCCATTTAACATATTGTGTGTTAGTGAGCATTGGCTTGATACTGATAGTCTAAAATGCATAAATTTAAATGGATATTCGTTGATTTCTAGTTTCTGTAGGTCTTTTCGAAAATTACATGGCGGTGTTGCTATATTTGCTGCTCATAACACCTATTTGCAAGAAATTGATGTATCCAGATTTTGTCAACCCATTCACGCGGAGTTCTGTGCGGCTGAATTAAAACATAAAAATTGTGTTGTATTATCTGTATATAGGTCATCCACTAAGGGTGAAATAGTTATATTTGTAGATATGTTAAAAAATATTATTGACGTGTTTTTATCCAAATTTAAAACCATCATTATTGTAGGCGACTTTAATTTGAACTTAGATGGAAATACCGAGTACGCAAAAATTTTACGAAACATATTTTGTGAATATGGTCTTAGGCATATGATTCATATACCAACTAGAGTAACACTAACAACCAGTTCATGCCTTGATAATATAGTTACTAATGTCGATAATGAAAACCTTTACACTGGAGTATATGAACCACTAGTTGCAGACCATAGCGGTACCTATATGTTTTTTAATTTAAATAAACACAAAGTAAAAAAAAACATTAGCCATAAGACAAGAGTTGTAAATCAAAATAATTTAGAAAATTTTGTAAATCTTATTGGAGAAGTTGAGTGGGTAGATTCTGAAAATATGAATTCAGATCAATATGCAAATCTCCTTATCAATACTTTGTCCACGTCTGCTGCTGCCTGTTTTCCCTTAAAATCCGTATCCAACAAAAAATTCGGAGTAAAGTGGTTCAACGATGAGTTAAGAGCGAAACGTCGGGAAGTCTATACTACAAGAGCAAAATTTATTTCCACAAATTCAGCTATAGATTGGTATCAATTTTGTCAACTGCGTAAAGACTATCGCAAATCACTTAAAAAAGAAAAAAGAAAGGTATGTGAACAAAAAATCAACGAGGCAGAAAACAAGAGCCGAGCTATCTGGACGATCGCAAATGATGAGAGAAAAGCAAAACATCAGTTTAAATCGTCATCTGCGCTCCAATCGGACGAATTTAACAATTTTTTCGCGAACATATCCGAAGTTGTATTAGATAGTATTCAAAATTCACACGTAGATCCGATGTCTTACCTCAAAAGTGTACCTAGTTCCCCATCATCATTCTTCATGTCACCAATTTTAGAGACTGATGTTAAAGAGGCAATTTTATCCCTGAAAAATAAGCCAAGTATGGACTACTATAACTTAAACGCACAGATGATTAAAGCTGCTCTTAACTCATTAATTGCACCACTAACAATTTTATATAATAAATGTATAAGTGAGGGAAACTGGCCTCAAGTATTAAAAATATCAAAAATAGTTCCGGTATTTAAAAAGGGAGATATTGACCTGGTAAATAATTATAGACCTATAGCAATTTTGCCCATTATTTCTAAAGTTCTTGAAATACTAGTCAAAAGAAAATTAACATCATACTTAGAAAGTAAACATATAATAACCTGTGCCCAATATGGATTTCAGAAAAATAAGTCTACTGTTTCAGCACTTTCAAACATTATTGAGAACATAGTTGAAGGTCTTGATGAAGGTTTAAACACGTACGCTACTATGTGTGACCTAACGAAGGCCTTTGACTGTGTAAATTCAAATATTTTAACCACAAAAATGGAACATTATGGCTTTAGAGGTAGCGAGCTAAAATTGTTTGAGTCGTATCTAGGAAATAGGCAGCAGTATGTTAGCTACAATGATCTAGACTCCAGTCTTGTACCGGTGAATAATGGAGTGCCGCAGGGCTCTGTTTTGGGGCCGGTTCTATTCTTACTGTATATCAACGACTTACCTGCGTCTTTGGTCAGTAACACAGTTATATTTGCCGATGATACCACCTTCTTAACGAGGGGTGAAGAGCATTTGAGTGTAGAAAATTTAAATAAGGCAAAAGTTTGGTTTGATGCTAATAACCTGAAACTAAATGAAGATAAGACCAAAAACATAACTTTTACATCTCACAAAGGTGGAACAAAATCCCAAGAGGTCAGGTTATTAGGAGTCACATTAGACCCAGGACTTAATTGGATAAACCACGTGGATCTTCTATGCTCAAAGGTTTCTTCACAATTATTCGCGATGAGGCAAATACGTTCGTGCATCGTAAACAACAATGTTATGCGGACTATTTACTTTGCACTAATTCATAGTCATCTAGCATACGGTATCACTTTATGGGGTAATTCTAGTAGTGTGCAGAGAGTCTTTGCATCTCAGAAGGCTGCTATACGCCTAATGGATGGTGCGGAGACTCGTGCACACTGCCATGAATTGTTTTTAAAATATAAAATACTTCCTTTGCCATGTATGTATATATTTGAGTCACTTTTGTGTTTGCATCGGCGCGTTCTAGAAATAGCAACTCACTCCGATATTCACCAGTACACTACTAGAGGAGCGGAGCGACTTATTGTTCCATACTCTAGAATAAGACAAACAGAGTGCAACAAATTGGATATTAAGCTTTATAACAAGCTCTTGGATTTGCATATAAATCAGAATATCAAAGCAATGAGTCAAAAACAATTTTATATATTTGTAAAAAAGTTTTTATTGGAAAAATGTTTTTACAGCGTAGCTGATTATATGGCATTAAATATTTAATTTTTAATATTAGGATAATTATATGAAAAATAAACTATTTATGTAACTTTTATGTTCTGACTAAAATTTTAAGTGTTTTAATATTGGACCTATAATTATATTATTTTTAAAATGTATCTTGTAATTGTATATGTATTGTTTTTAATAATCTTTAGTCATAAGCTACTATGTAAGGACTACACAAATTCTAATGTATTTACAGTTGGTCAATAAATCGTATTCTATTCTATTATTATTATTATTATTATTATTATTATTATTATTATTATTATTATTATTATTATTATTATTATTATTATTATTATTATTATTATTATTATTATTATTATTATTATTATTATTATTATTATTATTATTATTATTATTATTATTATTATTATTATTATTATTATTATTATTATTATTATTATTATTATTATTATTATTATTATTATTATTATTATTATTATTATTATTATTATTATTATTATTATTATTATTATTATTATTATTATTATTATTATTATTATTATTATTATTATTATTATTATTATTATTATTATTATTATTATTATTATTATTATTATTATTATTATTATTATTATTATTATTATTATTATTATTATTATTATTATTATTATTATTATTATTATTATTATTATTATTATTATTATTATTATTATTATTATTATTATTATTATTATTATTATTATTATTATTATTATTATTATTATTATTATTATTATTATTATTATTATTATTATTATTATTATTATTATTATTATTATTATTATTATTATTATTATTATTATTATTATTATTATTATTATTATTATTATTATTATTATTATTATTATTATTATTATTATTATTATTATTATTATTATTATTATTATTATTATTATTATTATTATTATTATTATTATTATTATTATTATTATTATTATTATTATTATTATTATTATTATTATTATTATTATTATTATTATTATTATTATTATTATTATTATTATTATTATTATTATTATTATTATTATTATTATTATTATTATTATTATTATTATTATTATTATTATTATTATTATTATTATTATTATTATTATTATTATTATTATTATTATTATTATTATTATTATTATTATTATTATTATTATTATTATTATTATTATTATTATTATTATTATTATTATTATTATTATTATTATTATTATTATTATTATTATTATTATTATTATTATTATTATTATTATTATTATTATTATTATTATTATTATTATTATTATTATTATTATTATTATTATTATTATTATTATTATTATTATTATTATTATTATTATTATTATTATTATTATTATTATTATTATTATTATTATTATTATTATTATTATTATTATTATTATTATTATTTAGAAAATAAAAAATTACTATCACCACATCAATTTGGGTTTAGAAAGAACAAATCCACAGTCAAGGCGATAGCTGCTTTAGTTGAAAATGTAGTTGAAGGTCTGGATGACGGTACAAGCACGTGTGCTACACTGTGTGACCTGTCTAAAGCATTCGATTGTGTAAACACGGAGTTACTGATAAATAAATTAGAGTTTTATGGAATTAGGGACAAAACATTAGACCTGTTATCCTCATATTTAACTAATCGACAGCAATTTGTTAGTTATGATAACATCAGTTCCTCATTAGCACCGGTAACCAGAGGAGTGCCACAGGGCTCCGTATTGGGTCCTATCTTGTTTCTCATTTACATTAATGATTTGCCATATAATTTAGAACATTGTTCTACCATTATGTTTGCTGATGACACTACGATCCTAAATAGGGACATATTGGTGTCAAGTGATTTGTGTATGTCATCAGCGGAAGAGTGGTTTGCTACAAACCATTTAAAACTAAATGAAGCAAAAACGCAAAAAATTACTTTTACATCAAATAAAAACACCCACAAGATGGAACCAATCAAATCACTTGGTATTATTCTAGACGCAAACCTTAATTGGGGCCCTCATATCGATGCTACTACCGCAAAAATTTCGTCGCAAATATTTGCGTTAAGACAAATGCGACAGAGTCTTGATAAAACTGTATTAAAAATGGTCTACTATGCCCTAGTACATAGTCATTTGTCTT